CAAGAGACCACATTATCCAAACTATTGTGGCTAGAAAGAAGTATCAGTGATGACAGGAGTGTCTCAAATGTTACAATAAGCAGACAAAATTTAGCCTGTGCAGTCAACTGTTGTATTTGGTAAAGATGCTGGGAGGTGGCTACAAAACAAGCTACTGTTTACACATGCAAGGCTTTTGATAAATAATTAAGAGAAGTTTCTGCAAACCAAGAGTGTAATAAACCTGGCCTCATAAAGTCACTGCTGTAGTTACAACTGGATAAATACAGAGTGCTTCAGCTCTAGCAGCTGTCAGGCCAGGACATCTCAGTATAATTTTAAAGATAAATTGGTATCTTTGAGGCCTTTTATCCTCCCAAATTTGCATGAAATTGGCTAACCAGTTTGGAAGTTGCTTCTAGAGGATGGAGAAACTAAGAGTGTAATTGCATGTGCCTTCTTTCCTTAGGAAATAAGGCTAAAAATAGAAGAATCTGTATGGAGGTACTGAGGAAAGTGACTTGCCAACAGACAACAAAACTTTCAGCAACCATCTGAAAGAAAGACTCAACAACCAGACTGACAGAAAAGCAGCTCTGCATGTACTATTTAAACCAGAAGCTGAGCAACTTGAGCGTTCCTGGAACAAACAGTCCTGTTTGGGGTAAGATAACAGATGTGGCTCCTTTGGCTGTACAGAAACCATCCCAAACTTGGCTCTGAAACTTCCTTGCTATACATCAACATTATTATTCCATAATTTCTGCCTCCTGGCTCTTCTGATAATTTTTTAAGGGGAAGAAAATCCTCATTGTGAAGCAAAGAGGTTTTAACTGCTGCTGTGTGCAGTTTGAGGAGTGCAAGAGGAGGATGGAGTCTTTCCTAGTACTGCTAGAGAAGCAGCAGCTGGGACTCTGAAGTACTGGAGTTTTCTAGTGAGGCTTCAGTTAACACTTGCCCAGACACCTCGAGGGAAGGTCTTTCATATGTCATGTTGTTTGAACTCCCCACATCTGTTTGTAAGTGGAGTAAATCTGTTAAAATAGAGGTTCCCTCTATTCCTGTTGAACTGGCATTTCAGCTGCTGAGCCGAGGCCAGGAGGTTGTATCAGACTGAAAGGCTAAGGGGAAATGGTTTTAAACTGAAAGACGGGAGATTTAGGTTAGATATCAGGGAGAAACTCTTCACCATGAGGGTAGGAAGGCAACTGAAGGTTGCCCAGGGAGGCTGTGGAAGCCCCTTCCCTGGAAGTGTTCAAGGGCAGGTTGGATGAGGCTTGTGCAGCCTGGTCTGGTGGGAGGTGTCTCTGCTCATAGCAGGGAGGTTGGGACCTGATAATCTTGAAGGTCGCTTCTAACCCAAACCATTCTATGATTCTATGAAAGGAAACCCACCTTTTTCAGCTTTTCAGAAGAAACCCTCACTAAACATGGCATATCTCGACAGAACTACGGTCTTTGTGACAAATTAATGATGAGACACAAATAGTCCAGTTCAAAGATGTACCTTTCCCAGTTACTTTTTCTTAGAGGTTCAAGGTTTGTACAGAGCTCTGTCTCTAGGAAGCAAAATTTGTGCTGGTGGAAATAAATAGTACTTAAGGATAACAGTTTATACCATCCTCTACCACACAGATATTCAGGTAATAATTGGTATTTCTGGTCTCTACCTCAGTAAAAACAGAAGGCACTGAAAAGCCATGGAAACCTTATATGAAGCACAATTTCATCATAGAATGGTTTGAGTTGGAAGGGACCTTAAAGATCATCTAGATCCAACCCCCTGCATGGGCAGGGACACCTCCCACTAGACCAGGTTGCTCCAATTTAAAATATAAAATGTAGAAAAACATACATTCTTTATGTACTGGTTAGAAAGAGACACTTGGGAGGAAAAATCATGTTTTGAGCCAAACAGCAAAGGCTTGTCTAAGTTTCTGATTCTTCAATAAATCCTTCATTCCCTTTTCCTCTTGAACACACACTAACTTACCTTCATGACCTTAGTTTATTAAGACTAACAGAATTTGCATACATTGATAGGGCTTCCTTTACATTCACACTTTGTTGTTGGGTAATTAGACTTTTTTTATAAATCACTCTAAAACACAGAAAACACAGAATCCTAAAGCAAGGGGTATAATATGGTTAACCAGAAAAAAAACCACTGCAGACTCTTTAAGTCTGGGGTCACCATGTGAAGGAAGGAGAAAAGGAACCAACAGTTCTGGAGAGTTGTCCCTTGTGCCAGGATACATGATCCCACACAGAGGTCCAGTTCCATTCCCAGGACTGTGGCCTGAGAGGGAAATTGCACATTTGGAAGGAAAATACAAGACAAAATATCATGGAGAAAATCCTGGACCTTCCAGCTAGTCCTGGGCTCTGGACCCCAATACCTGCTGAAAACAGTCATATTTATACTGTATTTCTACTACTTAAATATATAACAGACCTTCATGTGTCTGCCCTGATTAGCTGGGCTTTAATTTATTTGAGTTGATTTAATCTTTAGTTTATTTACTACCAGTAGGCTCTAGGGAACACAGGGAATTGGTAGATGCCATATTTTAAGAGGGGAGCTAAAGTACAGGTGCTGAAATTACTTTTCCAGAGCTCTCCCAGTTTCCCTAAAGACAGCCCCATGCTTCCATTATAGATTCTATGTCTGGTTTTCATCCCTTACTGCTTGGAGGGGCTTTATGTATTTTTAAAACTCTTTACTTTTTAACAAGCACAAACACTGTGAAGACATCTACAGCCCATAATTCTGGGTTGCTGCTTTTAGGGTTTATAGATACTTTGGATGTTCTATTCTGGTGTATGTCAGACAAGGCCTTTCCTCAGCAGAGAGATGGGCAGGGGTCAGAGGTGATTTTAGGAGTTGGTTTGTGGGGGATGTTTTTGTTCCTTTTAAACAAAAACAGCAAACAAAGCAATGAAATTAGGGTACAGGAAGAAAACAGCTCAAGTAAATGTACGTGCTTTAAAAGTTGCTCTGGTTTACTTTGAAAAAAAAGAGTATTTAGAAAGGTGAGTGGGTTTACTGCTGCCATTTCTATGAAAAAAACACCTTTTACAAACCCCATAAAGAATCATCCTCAGTTTAATTCCACAGCAATACACACAAATACTTGTGGTTCGATCACTTGTATGTGAACTGGCTCCCCAGTTCAAGAGAGACAGGAATCTGCTGGAGAGTCCAGGGAAGGGCAATAAAGATGACTGGGAGATTGGAGCATCTCCCTGATGGGGAAAGGCTGGGAGAGCTGGGGCTGTTCAGCCTGGAGAGGAGAAGGCTGAGGGGAGACCTTCTTAATGCCTCCAAGGATCTCAGGGTGGGTGCAGGAGGATGGAGCCAGACTGTGCTCAGCAGTGCCCAGGGACAGGGCGAGGGGCAATGGGCACAGGCTGGAACATGGGAAGTGACATGGAAGTGGGAGGGAAAACTTCTTTGCTGTGAGGGTGACAGAGCCCTGGAACAGGCTGCCCAGGGGGGCTGTGGAGTCTCCTTCTCTGGAGACATTCAGGACCCACCTGGATGCAGCACTGGGGAATGTGCTCCAGGGGATCCTGCTTTAGCAGAGGAGTGGGATTAGATGATCTTGAGACATCCCTTCCAACTCTGACAATTCTCTGATTCCACGTGCTTGACACACTGGTAACAAGAGTGGCTGAAGTGCTTCCCTGCACTGTATTAACACCTTTCTTTAACAAAAGCTGAAGTCTTGATTTCCCAGCTGGGAGAAGGTTAGATCCAGGATTCCCTGTGCTGAACTGCTAAAATTCTGTAGAATAAGGTTACAGTTTGTGGGCTCTGTTATAACTCTTCAGAAAGCAGCATGAAGCCCAGCCTGCCTTTCCACTGCAGCCCTCAGGCAGGGCCATCCAAGAAGGGACTGTCACCCCACACAGTACCAAGGGCTGAGATCCATTCAGCAGAGCAGCCCACAAGAGTTTCCAGCCTGCCCTTCAGCTGCCACCCCCCCTGCAATGCAGCTTTACCCAAGCATGGACCTTACAGAAAGTTTGCAGCTCAATCTGCTTTTCATTCTGAAAGTTACAGACCTCAGAGTCTGCTCTTTTCCTCACAGGATGGCAATAAAGTGTCAACCAAAGCACTTTTACTCCCCACTTTAGGACTTGGCATAAACATTCCCCCAGATAACAAAAAAATCTGTGTAAAAATTAGGTTATTTAACATGGCATTTACTCTCTCCTCCATAGGTAGAAGAGCTAAAGAAAGTCACCTGCAGTATTTATCCTCCAAAAACAATCAGGTGGAGAGAAAGGTGGCCATCAGCCTCTACAGCTCTACACTGCACAGCTCAGCCATCATTTTACTCTTGGGAAGTGAAGGGAGCAGTGGAGGAAAGAAAGGGGAGCAGTGAAAAAGGGAGTGGATATTTATCCCTGGTGAACAAGATGCAGAAATGGCCAGTTGTGGAAGCAAGCCTCAAAGTTGGGTTGAACAATCCCTGCAGCAGCAACACCAGCCTGGGGACAAGAGGTAATGTCACCTCCTTTGCCCAAGCCAACGTGTCCCCTCTGGTTGAGACTGTCACAGACAGTGCCTCACATTTCTTATTTTCAGCTTAGTTAGGGCAGCTTGTTTGTGGCAGGGGGGTGTGAGAAGCACCTTACCAGGCAGCCAGAACTGGAAAATTGGAAACCAATCAGGCACAGTGTGGGGCATCTGGGAGAGGTGGCAACCTCAACAGCTGAGGTCCTCTGACAGCACACGTGCATGCTGAGAGCCTCTGAGCTCTCCTGCTCTGCTGTCAACCTGTAGTAAAGACCAGATCGACTTGTTCTTGCCTCTGCCACTGGTGTGACACTGCAGCCTGGCCCGTGGCCTCTTTGCAGGTCTGTAGATACTGTGTGGCCTCCAGTAAGTCCCAGGAAAGAGATGACCTCCAAAAATTTGGCTGTTGCATACTTGAGGCTGTCTGGGTAGATAGACAAAGACACTTGGTCTCTTTGTAAAGGCTAAATTTGCTTAACACCCAGGTCCAAAACCATCTTCCTTTCCTTTGCGTTGTAGCACCTTGAGTCCTCCTCGAGCTGGGACCGGGGGCAGGTGAAGGTGTTGCTCTCACTGGTAGTGCAGCAGCTCCTCCCAGCGAATGGGCTGGGAAAACACCTCCCTTTCCAGCCAGAGTTCGTAGGAGTAGTGGAAGTCCTCGGGGAGCTCCAGGTGCTGGCCCAGCACACTCTGCAGGCAGTTGTCCACCGGGGCAAACTCTGAGTCTTGAGGTTTGTCGTATCTCCGGCTGTTGAAGGCTTCGATGTTGGCCCTGAGGGTGCATTCCTCAGCCTGGAAATCCCAGGGTCTGGCATCGATGTCTACACAGAAGGAGGAACAAGACCAAAGTGTTGTGGAAAAAAAAAAAAAATAATCACAGAATCGTGGGATGGTTTGGGTTGGAAGGGATCTTGAAGATCATCCAGTTCCAACCACCCCTGCCTGGGCCGGGGCACCACACACCCGATCACGCTAAAAAAAAATGCTCCAAGCCCCATCCAACCTGCCCTTCAACACTTCCAGGGATGGGGCTCCTACAACTTCCCTGAACAACCTGTTCCAGTCTCACCATCCTCACAGCCAAGAATTTTCTCCTAATGTCTAACCTAAATCTCCCTTCTCCCAGTTTTAATCCAAGTTTTGAGCAAAAGAAACAAGATTTCCAGCAACCACATGCCTGAATTGACCAGAGTATTATCCAGTCAGTTATTCCTAATCAATTCCCAATTATGTATGCATTTTAATTTAAGGTATTTAAATATAAGATGGTAGGTTGGATGGGGCTTGAAGTACCCTGGTCTACTGGGAGGTGTCCCTGCCCATGCAGGGGAGAAAGAACTAGATGATCTTTAAGGTCCCTCCCAACCCAAACCAGTCAGGGATTCTATGATTCTGGGATTCTATGATCTGCACCACTGGGATGAAACTGCTCTTGTTTCTCAGGTGTGAACTGCAGATCTCCACAGCCATCCTGAGCATGCACATTTGGTGTGGATAGCAGGACAGCTTATTGGCTCAATGTTGAAAGTGATTTGGAAGTGCAAAAGTGCAGGCCTGGGCTTGATGGAAACTCTCATCTTGGAGATCTGAGCTGACCATGTCCCATCCTGATCTATTATTCCCACCTTTCCTCATGCAATCAATTTGTTCCCTCTTGGTGGTGCTGAACAGAGCCTTAAAGCTTCCAAAAAAAATCCCCAACACTGACTCGAACAAGTTGATGGGATCCTAACAGTCCAAACCATGTCAAACCACATCAAAGGGCTGAAGAACCTGCCTATGTAGGGTGGATGGTTGGACTTGATGATATTGAAGGTTTTTTCCAACCTTGACAATTCTATCATTCTATGAAGGTTTTTTCCAACCTTGACAATTCTATGATTCTATGAGGAAAGACTGAAAGAGTCTGGAGGACCTAGAGAAGAGAAGGCTTTTGGGGGGACACACACCATCACAGTATTCCAGTACTAAAAGGGCTGCTACAGAGAGAGCAGAGTCTCTGTCTTCACAAAGAGCCACATGGAGAAGACATGGGGCAGGAGGTACAAGCCACACTGGGAGAGGTTTCATCTTGATGTGAGAAAGGCTTTTTTTACACTGAGAACAATCACTCCCTGGAACAACCTCCCCAGGGACATGGCAGAGTCCCCATCACTGGAGGTTTTTAAGATGCGACTGGATGGAGTGGTAGATTGTCTCATCCAGGCTCCCTTTCCCACAAAAGGTTGGACCAGATGATCTTCTGAGGTCCCTCCCAGGTCTATGACTCCATGAAACCCCCTGTGTGTCCATCCCACCTGGGGACAGAGCAGCTGCTCCGTGGCCCCACTCACCATTGCCGTAGGCCCAGTCGTCGTTCATGCGGTGCCGCACCTTCTGGTAGATGGCAGACATGGTCTTCATGTTGCTCTTCCTCCACTGGCGCCCCAGGTATTTGGTCTGGATTTTCAACAGCTTGAGGACATACAGCTGCATCATGGCCTGCTTCACCTTCAGAGCTCGCTTCAGTATTGGGGCTGACTTAAAGACTACCAGCATCTGCCAAGAAACCAACACACATTCATTCAACATGATCCAGAAACCCACATGAGCACTCTCTGTGCTGCCTTGTTCACCAACACCTGGGCCATGTATGGTACAGACCCCAAGCAGGTAGAACATGAGTGTTCAGCATAACCAAAACTTGCTGCAGGGGACTTGAAGGTGACAGAAATTAAATATTATTTGCAGAAGAAAAAGTATTTCTTCGCTTAAGGCTCAATCTGTGAAAGACAAATGGGCAGATTATGAAAAAGCAGAAGTTCCAGCACTGCCAGAAGACACTCTCAGCAGGGAGCTTGGGCTGAAGTAGCTGGGGACACACTGGATGGTCCAACACTGGCAGACTACAGCAGGTCTCAGAGGAATGGGACATTCCCTTACCATTGTCCTCGAGTGTTTCCACTTGGTCAGCTTGTTGAGGATCCTCAGCAAGTTAATGCAGGAGAATAAATTTCTCCAGCAGAACTGGTTGTTGTCTCCAGCCTCCTGCACAGCAGAGAAGGAAAAGCATAATAACCCTAAGATGGGCATTCACAGAGACACCCTTGTGCAGAAAGCCTTTATTTTCACTATCTTCTCAAGTTTATTCCTGATGGAGAGTGAGCAGCAGAGCTATCTCCTCGCTTGGGTGGTCATCAGGCTGCTAAGAAGATAACAGATTCTGGGGGAAACCCTTCTGAGAGAGTCAGATATAATAAGCATTTTAATTTGCATTTAAGTTTAGAGCTCAGATAAATCACATCTTCCTGTCATGGGAAATACATATTGTGGTAGATTTGCACTTGTTTGCAGTCAGGGAGGAAATGACAGCCCAGTGATCACCACAGCTCAGAAAAGTTTCTGTAAATCATAGAAATCATAGAATCACAGAATGGTTTGGGTTGGAAGAGACCTTGAAGATCATCCAGTTCCAACCCCCCTGCATGGGCAGGGACACCTTCCACCAGCCCAGGCTGCTCCAAGCCCCATCCAACCTGCCCTTCAACACTGCCAGGGATGGGGCAGCCACAGCTTCTCTGGGCAACCTGGGCCAGGGTCTCACTACTCAATTAATTCCTAATTTCTTGTCTAAATCTCCCCTCTTCCAGTTTTAATCCATTCCCCCTGCTCCCACCCCTCCCTGCCCTTGTCCCAAGCCCCTCCCCAGCTTTCCTGGAGCCCCTTCAGGCACTGGAAGCTGCTCTAAGGTCTCCCTGGAGCCTTCTCTTCTCCAGGCTCAACACCCCAACTCTCCCAGCCTGTCTCCAGAGTAGAGCTGCTCCGGCCCTCTCAGCATCTCCATGGCCTCCTCTGGACCCACTTCATGTCTTTCCTGTGCTGAAGACTCCAGAGCTGGATGGATGCTCAGACTTCTCCTACAGCCATAAAGCTAATCCTGAGCTTAAGGCTCAGCATGAGCCCTTGGAGCTCTCAACAATATATCACTAGATGTCCCCATTGGACAAGGATATGGTCGGTGGGAGCCTGGCCAGGACACCAGCTTTCAGCAAGCAGCTCATGGACCTGCACAAAACAAGGGACTTATCCTCTTGGTTAGGAGGGAGATGTCCAGGAGCTGTCACCCTGAGCAGGGACAGTGGTGGAAGGCTGAGGCACCATGTCAGCCACATGTGACAGTCCCACAGCCACCCACCGTGCTCCTCAGAGGGTTGTATAGACATTTGATCTGGTACAATCAACTCATGGCTGGAATTTGTATCACAGTGGCACATCAGAAATGCTGTGGCTATGGATCCAATAAAACCAGTTTGGTTGTCCTGGCTGGCTGCAGCCTTGGAGGGACTCGTCAGCAACTTCCCTGCATAGAAACTAGGGAAAATCTTTCACTTTCAAGATTTTTGCCTTTCCATAGCTGAGGAGAGCAACATAGGCTTAAGATTTTAGCAGCCAGGTAACATGAGATCATCCCTGCCCGGACTAGTTTTGGTCAGACACCTTCTAAATGATCCCTGCATTATTTAGGGTCTCTCTTCCCTTAGATCCCTCTTAACCCCAGAGCTTGTCCCTGCTCTGTGCCCAGTCCAAGTCCAACCCACTCTGCATTGAATTATTGCAGTTCTGAACCTGCCAGCAATGGTGTCTCAGCTGCCATCCTTGCATTCACACAGCCCATCATGCTGGCTGGTCTCCATAATACTTAGGCTGTTCTCCATAGGGAATTTGGTTCATTCCTTAATCTGCTGGCATCTGGTGAAATGCAAGTGCTCAGAACAATTGAAACCTGGGAGGCAATGGCCTCTAAGCAAATCCTTTGTCAAAGCAGGTTCTCTCATTTGGAGAAGTGAAAATGGAAAACTCCAAACCCAAGGATTTTATATTATATAGAAAATATGTTGTGCATATATTATGCACAACACCAGCAGTTACTCCTCCCCACCATCATCAGTCAGAAGAGCGATGGGAGGAAATTTTAAGTCTGAAAGAGGGCTAGAAAATCAGTCTGATTTTGGAAAGGTTAGGAATGCAGAAAAAGAAGATAGAAAAAAAAAAGAAAACAAAAGTCCTTCCTCACCCTCTTGCAAACAGCAATACTGGCTACAAGGACCCTTTGTGTGCTGCTTACCAGGCTTTCTGCAGTGAGCTCAGGCAAATCACAGACTGTACAATGTGGATAATCCAGGACGGAGATGCTGTAGAAGACAGGAAGGAAGGGACTCATTCAGAACCAGGGAAATACAAAAGTAACTTTTAAAGATGATCTCTGTGATCGTGCCCAGGGATCTGCAATGCCTCCCTGCCTTTCCAGCACCACATCCAGATGGGCTCCCAGCCTCACCACTGCCTCATGGCTCAGCTTCATGGAGCACCTCAGTCCCTCCTGGCTCCCAAGTGCATCCCAAGTGCATTCACAGGGACTCAGAAGATTAGTTACCCAACTGTGTATTTTAAAAGGGGAAAAAAACCCAGCAAAACAGATGTTAGGTTAAAATGGAGACATCTCATTACCAGCAAGAAACTTCACAATGAGGCTATCAGGTATTTCCAAGCCCTCCAGGCCTACTGCCTTTGTATAAGCAGCCAATAGTCATAGAAATCATGGAATCATGGAATGGTTTGGGTTGGAAGGGACCTCAAAGATCATCTAGTTTAACCCCATTGTCATGGGCAGGGACACCTCCCACCAGACTAGGTCGCTCCAAGCCCAATCCAACCTGCCCTTCCACACTTCCAGCTGCCACAGCTTCCCTGGGCAACCTGTTCAATAAACAAGTATTTATGTGTGTGTGTGTGTATATGTACATAGTATGTATACATAGAGACACACTGATGCTGTCTGTACCCTAAGACCTGCACTGATTTCAAAGGAAGTGTTCACTAGCACACAACTTCAGTTCTTCTTTGCTATTATTTGTTTTTAAATCCAGCAGCTGAGCAAAAAGCAGACTTATGACAATCACTGAGTTGGAAGCAATCCCTCTGCATGAAGACCCAAGGTCTGAAGATCCCCTAAAACAGGCTTTGCTTAAAGCATTTGGTCCATGAAGGGTTTGTCTGACCACAAGGACAGATGCTCCTTGCTGGCTCCCACAGATCATAGAACAGTGAAGGTTGGAAGGGACCTTCAAGATCATCAGGTTCCAACCTCCCTGCCATGAGCAGGGACACCTCCCACCAGACCAGGCTGCACAAGCCCCATCCAACCTGCCCTTCAACACCTCCAGGGATGGGGCTTCCACAGCCTCCCTGGGCAACCTGTTCCAGTGCCTTCCTACCCTCATGGGGAAGAATTTCTTCCTGATGTCTGACCTAAATCTCCCCTCTTTCAGTTTAAAACCATCATCCCTTGTCCTATCCCTGCCCTCTCTGGTGAAAAACCCCTCCCCAAATCGTAATCCTAAACCTGCAAGTGCTGTGCAGATTGAAGCAGGAGAGCTCAGAGGGAACCAGCTCGGGACCAGGAGCCCCATGGCTCATCTGCTGCAGGTTGTCCTTGTGCTGGCATCACTTCTGACATCCCTTGTGGCATCACTGGTCTCAGGTCCATACACCTGAACATGACCAAGTCTTGCCTGCAAAACCTCCATCAGAAAGCAGAGGAGGGAGCTGCGTGATCCTGGGCTACGTGTCCTCCTCACTTATGTGTCTCTAAAGCACAGGACCAGAAGTGGAAATGTTTATCAGCAAGATAATTAATATATTGCTTTCTCTTTTTCCATTTTCTGACACTTACACAACCATCCCACGCAGGAGACAGCAGCCTACACACATGGCTCAAAAGCAACAAAAAGAGCATCAAAAAGCAAGAAGAGGAATCTTTTCATCATTCCAAGAGCAGCATCTTCTGTCACTCTCCTTTGAACAGGGAAATCCTACCCAGTCCTACTGAGCTGTGAAAGAGTTGTGCTCTCTCAGTTCTCACACTGACTTGCACTAGTCCAGCAGGTCCCCATATAGACTCAAAATGGAACTAGTGGCCTTCTCAGATCAGAAGTCAAAGGCAGGACAACTATGCAAAAGCTGGAGAAGTCAGGGAAGCTGAATTATATCTACAACAAGCAGACAGCACCTAGAAGACTTTACCCCATCTGGGCTTTTGGAAGCTGTGGCCCACAGATGCCCAGAGGCACTGGGCTGCTTTCTAGGAGTCCATGTAAAGATGCAACCAATCTATTGTCAGCAAGGGAGACGTGCCTTCATGCATGTTAGTAGCCCAATGAGAGACTGAAACCCCCCATCCAGTTCTCCTCATCAGGCAAAAGGGATCTGCTCCCCTCCAGTGTATTGCTCTAGTGGAGAACATGCTGCCCCAAAGCCATGCCAGGGACTAGGGGCCACTTGGTCCCACCCCATGCGAGGGTTTCTCACACACGAAGCCTCCCTGCTCCATCATCCTTCTTCTCCCCAGAAGTGGCTGTACCTGTTTTTGGCAGTGATGTAAGACATGATGTTTTGGTTGAAGAACTTCAGGATCAGCGGGATGCAGTTGGCAAACACCAAATGTTGGGACACGTACTCAAACTGAGGAAGAGAAGTGAAATGGGTCAACATCAGCTGGAACAACCGGGAGCATCACCTGGGAATGGAAGCCCAGTCTTCATGGTCTGTTCTAGACACCTGGCAGACCATCTTCTCCTTGCAGAAGGCTGCTGTATGGGGCATGCCTCACATGCAGCAACTCCCACCAGCTGGAAAACGATTTGCCATGGAGTGGACACACAAACTTTATGGCAGGAGTTCAGGAATAGCTGCACCTCATGGCTGCAGTTTAGTGTGTCAAGGTCCAAACCTGTGGCAAAACAGTTTGTGGGGGAGAGGGAAGGAGGAGGTGTAGCTGTTAGGGGAGAAAACACAATCATTCCTCTAACTAACTGTCACACAGTAACCCCAGTCAGTGCCTCTTCAAATTTTGACTGGAAAAAGTACCCCTGCCTTCACCCTTGTGTCTCTCCCCCTCTAAACATGAAATGATCTGGGTATGAAGGGCTGCACAATGCAACAAATTCCACTGTCCTCTGAGGAGACAGACACACATGGCAGCAATCTCCTGGCCCACCTGTGCCTTTCACTAACCTGCAGTCGACATCCCAGAGGGGAGAGTGGAGGAAGAGGGGAGGAGGAATGACATGGGATTGGAAGGGAGCTTTCAAGATTATCTAGTCCAACCCCCCTGCAGTGAGCAGGGACCTCTTGAGGTTGCCCACTGATCAGGTTGCTCACCAGACCGCAAGAGTCCTCCTGCCATGGAGGAAGAAACGAGAGGAGCTGTTTTGGGAGTGGAGCAAGAAAAATTAGTGATGGGGTGCAGGGGAATGAATGTAGGAATGTAAAACTGTGGGTGGTTGTTTCAATTAATCAAATCCAATGTATGGATTTATATTTCTCGTCAGATAAATATCAGTGGGCTTCATCACACAGATGGATTTGTACCATGCTGAAACCTTTACAAGGAAAAAAAAATAAGAAACACCCATTGTTTGACTTGCAGAATAGGTGGAGACCTGGGCCCAGGCCATGGGTCAAATCAGCACTTGGTCTTTTTTTAATCAAGCTCCAGTGTGACTTTTTAATCACCAGTGTGATTGGTGCCATGCAAATGAAACAAAAAGCAGACTGCATCTAGGACCCAGACCTCCAGGATGTGTTGAAACTGGAGCTGCAAGAACTTGATCCTGCCAAGGGACAGAGGACTGGATTACTTGACCTCATGAGGTCCCACCCAGAACTATTTCTGGTCACTGGAGATGAAACAGAGCAAAAGAGGGTCTTGTCTCACCCCCATCCCCTTCCCTCTCTACCAAGGAGGCTTCTGCTTGCGAGACCTCCTGAATTTTAACCTGATCAGCCACAGTGTGAATTTTTCCAGGAGCCTGAAACCTCTTTCCATGTGAGTGGAAACAATCCTGTCAAACCACAGGCAGAGATATCTTGCAGGCAAGTTATTCCTGCCTGAGTCACCCGGCCAACTCTTGGCCCAGGACCAGGGTTCACCGCTATGGAAAGGCAATCTGCAGCTCGTTATGGAAGCCCATTCCTGGAGAGGTCTTTTAGGAGAGGGTCTATCAGGACACACTTGGCTTCCAGACCAGCTTGGCATTGGCCATCCCATTCTCTCCACTCACCTGGTAGATGTGGTTCAGCTTGAAGTGTTTGAGGAGCAGCAGCAGCAAAGCTGAGATGCTCTTCACGATGATCTCTTTGTGCCTGTTCACGTCGATCCCCAGTTTCATGCTCTGAAGAACTGTGATGCTGGGTTGGTGGCAAGAAGGCAACAGTGTGGTGGGTACAGGAGCAAGGAGGGCTAAGGGACTTTTGAGTTCCTATTCATCTGCACAAGCTCTACAGAAACAGGGACCTTCACTTCCCTCTGGGACTCTAAGACTTCACCCCTCTACCTTAGCAGCAACAGTAGCTTGTACCCATCCGAAAAGATGTCCCCAAATCAGGACCCCCCCCCAGATCTATTAGCAAACCCCAACTCTTCTGCTCAGCCCAAGACTTGGTGGCAAAGTTGAGATGGCTGGTAGCCACCTCCTCAAGAACTTACGGCATCTCTTCAGGCAACACATCTGCCAGGATGTTGATGGAGTCGGTCTTGGCTTTGGAGGTGGGGGCTGCAGCCAGGAGGATCTTCAGCAAAGCTATCTGCAGGGGAGGACAGGCATGGAGGGATGCTCCCAGGAAGGGGCATTTCTTCCTTCTTCACTTGCTGAAAATGGACAACTTCAAGCCAGGTCTATAGGGTTCCACCATCCCAAGCTCTGCTCACCATGATGAACTGACTGCACCAGGGCTTAACCTCTCCTTTTATCCCCTGGACAGAGAGGACATGTGTGGGGAGCACAGCAGCTCTACCTTCTGAACTTAAGGCCTCATGAGCTCCAGTAGGATGGATAAAATAAAGCAAGGGACACCTGGAGCTTGGTGGATTTAAATCTGTGTTTGTCTCTCCCTGTGGATGGAGTGCACGTGGCTCAGTGAGCACCTTAGAGAATCACAGACTGGTTTGGGTTGGAAGTGACCTTAAAGATCATCTAGTTCCAACCCCCTACCAAGGGCAGAGACACCTCCCACTAGATCTGGTTGTTCAAAGCCTCATCCAACATGGCAATGAATTTCAGGACATGCATTGTATTCCTCTGGGAGTTCCTCTTGGGAAGGCTTGGGGCCAAGGGATGTCCCTGTAAGGAAGGTGACAGCCTGCAGACTCCTCACAGTTTGAAAAGCTGTTGAGAGCACAGCCACGTTGGTGGAGACCTGAAGGTGTTGCCAACTCGTTTGCTGAGCCACATAAAGCACAAGGATGGTTTAGTTTGATTCCTGGCCCAGCAAACCATCATGCTCAGAGATCAGTGTGATATGATAATGGAAGTTCATCTCAGCAAAAAGGGCAAAGGTTCAAGGGACCAGTGAAATCTGTAGGTTGCTTCTTCAGGTCAGAAGTGAACATGCCCACACCAGTGTGCAACAACTTGGTTAATACTACAGCTCATGCAGCTTAGGAGATGACACAGGCCCATCCCTAACTGACTCCCCTCGGTGTTTGGAGCCAGTTTTGAGCTCCTACCAATGTGGAGGACTTTGTTCCTTGTTCCAAATCCTCCACACACTCCCTATTTTCCAACCACTGACCCACTTGCAACAGTTTGACTGTGGCATCCCTTGATCCTCTGAACCTTTCCTCTTGGACTGTACTTCCTACCCAACTCTGCTCTGGATTCCCATCAAAACCTCACCATTCCAAGTCCTGAACATAGCCCAGCAGCCCCGTGCTGAGCTCTGCAGATCACAGGTTGGCACCATTCCCCACTCAAAAGCTCTTCTTTGCTTTTAAGAAGCACCATGTACTTCAGCTTACCATGTACTGGGGGAGGTTGTACAACATGGCTTGGTACAAGGCCTCACAAGGAGTTTCTTGGACCTCCTCTTCCCCCTAGCACAGGGAAACATTAGGAAAAAGGAAAAATTAGGTATCTCCAGTGGACCCATTTGAGATATGTTGGTCACCTCCACATAACCTAGCTTGAGGACTTAATCATGGACACAGCTGCATGCTGACTGGAGAAAGCTCCAGGTCTTTCTCCATTGCTACATTTGGACTTCTAGGAAAAAATTTTTTAAAAAAGAGTATCTCAGGTATTCTGAGGATCCTCAGGTGTCCTGAGGATCATGGAGAAGGTGTGGCTTTCTATGACACCTTGGAAACCTTCCACACGTCTGTCTAGTGATGGAGAGCAGCAACTTCTTACCAGAGACATGGGACACTTCTCCAGCTCCTCCTCATTCTTGATCTGGACGTCTGAGATGGAAACATATTTGTGCTGGCAAAATGGACAGAGAGAGGCAGAGCAAGGTCACAACTGAAGGATGAAACACAGACAGTGAAGACAACATCTGCTGATGTTAGGTGCACAGGTCACAGCAGATACATGGAGAACTCATCTGTGTGTGAACATCCCTCTGTCCCTGAAGCTCCTCACACATCATTTATTTGAGGCCACCCACCTACTCCTTCTAGGATCTATTTGTAAGTGAATGGAGAGTGACAATTGCCTCCAAAAGGCAATCCAGACTTAAAACAGGGTCAGCTGGCCTCTGGAGGTGTCCAAAGGGCAAGTCCAAGTGCTGGACAGTCTACTTGGAATTGCACTGAGGACTCAGTTTTCCATTTTCTTGCCTCAATTCCTGCAAGAAACTCCAGAAGCTTTTCCTGTAATAACCAACAAGAACAGACCCTCTTACTCCCTCCGGTGGTGTTTCAGCCAGAGGTTAGACCTGAGGATCCCACACTCCATGGGGTGAATGTCCAGCCCCTCTCAAGCTGTTCAGGCCTTGACTGGATTAATCAAATTGATTTCCCAAGGCAGAAGGAGCAGGAGCTCAGACTGAGAATGTTGCTGTGAGGAGGAGCAGAAGTCATGTGAAACGCGGACTGTGGGCTGAGACCAGACATCTGAGGAGCTTCAAACTCCTTGGAAATGCTGCATCACAAAAGCTTATGTGTATGAGCCTCAATGTCCTGCAATCCCCCTACAGCCCTGGTGATCTTGGCCAAGAATTTCCTCACAACCATGCGATCCCCACAAGTCCAGTCCCACCACAAAGCATCTGTTGAGTGCAAGGCAGCATATATAGCAAGGGATGAGGTTAGACAAGCTGACTGCTGCTCAGCAAGGCTTTCAGGGCTGCTTCATCCAAGTGCCACCCACAGAGCCACCATCTTACCTGCTTCAGGGTCTTCACGCTTTCATGGATGGGCCGTGGTAGCCCTATCAGGGTTTCAGTGTCCCTGTGGGGGATGAAAGATGGCTGGGAAGATCTGGGTTTCACACTTCCAAGGTCAACAAGGGAGCCTGCAGTCTAACGAAGCTGCTGAACTCATCCCAGATGGGTCAGGAACTGGCCCACCCTCCCACTCCCTCCCCAGCAAAGCCTGCACCAGAAAGGGGTGACCTTGGGGTGAAGATCTGAGGTGAAATCAAGTCTCTGTGGGGAGCCATCCTGAGCACAGCACCACACCCAAAACGAGGGATATCCTGCTAGGCCCACACCAGGATGACTCTGCTGGATTTAGTTGCAAACTGGGTAATTTGCTGTGGATACCACTTGTCCCAACTCACTACATCAATCCTAGAATGCCAAGTTGGAAGAGACCTCAAGGACCATCTGGTCCAACCTCTCTAGGTACTACTCTAGTTGATAGGAGGTGGCTCAGCACCCTGTCCAGCTGAGACTTCAAACTGTCCCATGTGGGGGAATCCACCACTTCCCTTGGGAGACTGTTCCAATGCTGGACTGTCTTCATGGGGAAACATTTCCCTCTTGTGTCCAATTGGAATCTCCCCAGGAGCAACTTATGCCCATCACCCCTTGTCTTTTCCACCTGACTCCTTGTCAATAGAGAGTCTCCATCTTCTTGGCATCCACCCTTGAAGTACTGGAACATGGTGATAAGGTCTCCCCTGAGCCTTCTCCTCTCAAGGCTGAACAAACCCAGCTCTCTCAGACCCTCCTCACATGGCTTGGGCCAGAGGTCACTTATTCCAGGCTAGCTCTGATTTTTTAATAGAAAGAGGTCCTCGGAGACCAGCATCTCCAAGAACATGTTTTTATGACACTAAGTGCGCTGGTGCAGCCCCAGCCAAATCCAGCACTGCACCACATGGTCCTGAGGATGCCTTGGGCTGGTTGAGTTGGGAAAACCTGAGCTCTGTGGCCACCTCCCAGTGGTTCATCTGCACTGATGGGAGCTGTGGGACAGACTCTGTTGGACCTACACACATAACACTCACTGTCCCAGCGTGAATCCAATGAATTTGTTCCTGCTTGCCTCGAGGAAGTGCTCGATGTCTTTCTGTCTGATGGAGCAGCAGAGAAACAAAAACAAGGAGAAGGTTGGAAAACAGAAACATCCCAGATTGCAGCCTGCATTACTCAGGAAGGATGGCAATGTGGGGCCAGCAGGAACCTTTGAGCTGTATGGGATTGATTTATAGAGGTCTTAACAGCCGCAGGCACCACTGGCTGGGACCAATGAGAACCAAAACCATTTGTATTTGGTGTGCAGCTCCATGGGAGTGTGCAAATAAATCAAGATGAGTTCTCTACAACCAGTGCCTTTTGATCCACCTTCTGTGCTCCCTGTACATGTATCTTCCAGCAGCATCTGCTGGCTCTGAGCAAACAAATGTTGTCTCCACAGTCTGGCAGAGCACGTGCTGCTCCAAGAGAGCAAGCTGACATCTTGTCCACCTCAGGCATCTTTCATGAGAACTGGTCACGGTCCCAGCACTACAAGTAGGACATGAACCATGAGCCAAGGTTCTCACAGACAGAAAGAAACCCAGCTGGATCTCCAGGCACCAGCCAAGAAATACAACCATCACTTGATTTCAATGCTGAGAGGATGTAGCTACATGGAGTGCCATGGCACCAGGTGTGTGGAGACCCACGTGGGGACCCAGTTCTTGCCATGTCCCTGCAAGGAGTGCTCTGGATAGACACACTTAACCCTGTCACTGCTCCCACATCAAAAAGATGTATTTTCTCCTGTGTTTTAAAGAAACTGGATTAAATTCTTCCTTGTGAGGTTGGTAAGACCCTGGCCTAGGTTGCCCAGGGAAGTTGTGGCCTCCCTCCCTGGAATTGTTCAAGGCCAGACTGGATGGGGCTTGGAGCACCCTGATCTAGTGGGAGGTGTCCCTGCCCATGCAGGGGGGTTGGAGCTAGATGATCTCCAGGACAGACAGGACTGGGGAGGACAGCAATGACACCAGGTGGTCTTACCTGACTTTGGGGGCCCAGGGTAGCCCTTTGGGGAAGGACACCCTCTCGATAGGCGGGCGCTGAGCAGGCAGCACAGGGATTATTGTGTCTCGCTCCAGCAGGTCCAGTTGCCCCTCAATCCCACTGTCCACATCATCATTCTCCTCTTCATCAACCCCTCCTTCGTCACTCTTGAAAGGGTCTCTCTCGTTGTAGATATCTAAACTGTCTTGCTTCACCAAGGGCTGCAGCAGAAGGGGAAGGAAAAATTCAAGTGATTCCGTTGATTTTATTTCCTGCCCAGCTGCTGGCAGCAGATGTCTCCACCCTGGAAGGATCAAGCTCCCAGATGTTCCTCAGGTGAGGATTTCCCTCCTAGCTGTTGCTACCAAAACCTAGACAAGGAAGAGCCCTCTCTGTACTTCTAACTTTGCTGCTCTAGGAGGTGTGACCCCATTTTTCCATCTTAACTTTTGGACCTACCATGTGACATGTCTCTCCTAGCAAAAGAGGCCTTTTCATCCTCAGACCATAACACAGCAACTCCAAGAGTGCAGCTAAAAGCAGATGAGCTTGCTGTGAGCACTTTCCTCCTCAGTGCTTATCAGCCCTTTGCCAGAGGGTCAGGATGTCCTCTCACTTCCTCTAGATCAAATGTGTCATGATGCTGATGTGCCCCAACTGAAATGGGTGGATGAAACACGACATGAGCCACCAACATGTGCTGGAGCCCAGAAACCAACCCTGTCCTGGGCTGCATCTCCAGCAGTGTGACCAGCAGGGCCAGGGAGGGAATTGTCCCCTCTGCTCTGCTCTGGTGAGAACCCATGACCCCCCTGCAGGGCTGGGGCCACCTCTGGGGTCCCCAACACAGGAAGGACATGGAGCTGTTGGAGAGAGGCCAGAGGAGGCCACAGAGATGCTGGGAGGGCTGGAGCAGCTCTGCTCTGGAGCCAGGCTGGGAGAGTTGGGGTGTTGAGCCTGGAGAAGAGAAGGCTCCAGGGAGACCTTAGAGCA